TCTTAGTTCATTGCTAGGGATTAGCAATATTTAAGTTTGGGGGTGTGATGAGCACTGAAAAGTGCACATTTAAACTCGTTAAGCTTAAGCATTTTAGTACATTTTTCTATCTTACTTTGCCGTTTTAGACTTATTACGTGTTATTTATATTTTCAGGCACTAATCCCAAAATTGAGCTAACTCAGCCAAATAAGAGCTTAATTGAAGCAATCCTGAGAAAAACCAAAGGAGGGAGTAAAGTGGAGAAAGAAAGGAGCAAAAAGGAATTAAGTTGTGCAGCTGAAAAGTTCGATCGATTCAACTTAGAGTTCGATCGATCGAACATTTATGATCGATCACAGTACTTCTCGATAGATCCAACCTTGGCCTTTGCTGAAATTCCAAGTTCGATCGATCCAACATCACCTTCGATCGATCGAACCCTATTTTGTCCTATTCAAATGATTGATCTTATCCACAGCTGTACGCCTACCAACCACTTTTGTCCTTTTCCCCATAAATATCTTCGAAATATCTCAGCCTTGTCCTTATCTGGAGGAGTCAAACCACTTCGATCGATCGAACCCATCTTCGATCGATCCAAGTTAAGGTTCGATCGATCGAACTTCTTCCAGCGAGAAAAAGTTAAAGTCCAGCTCATTTATTCCGTCCTTCACCCAATCATTGGAGAATATGCCATGCATGACCACAGCTCATCATAGGGTGTATTTGACCTACTTATATAAGGAATATGATACACTTTTTGGAGAGGAGTCTAGAGTCTCTTGTCACACATTGAAAATCATCTTGGAGGTTATTCTTGGAGAGGAAGAAGGGAGGAAGCTAGAGCACCATTGGAGGAGATCTTCACCAACAAGGAGCAGCCATGGAGTTAGCCCTTGAGGGTTGGATCATCACTACCATGAGTGGCTAGACATCTTCTTGGGGCTAGAGTTAGCCCCAAGCATGCTTTCTATACTCTAATCTTGTGTATTATTGAGGGATTAGTGTTGTATGATACATCTTGATATTCATGTATATATAAATCTTGATTATTTCATGGTTTGTATGGTTTAATGCTTCCAATTGACTATTCAATGCTACCCATATGTCTATGTATGCTAAAGTAGGATATTCATGTGCTTATCTCTAGATTTAGTGTTTTTGATGCATGTCTATGTGTATTGATGCTATAGATCTAGAGATTATCAAGATGATATGCTTAATGAATGCTATTTTGGTTCATTTGATGGTTTATGCCTATTCTTGATGGTTTGTGCCTCTCCCTTAGTCTAGATAGCTTTATTTTCATGCTAGTAGTGTAGATTTAGTGTAGTGGTAGTATAATATTAGATGGGAGGACAATTTACTCTTGATGTTTGATGTTCCATGCTTGTGAGTCCAAATGGCATATTCCTCTAATATTGTGTTGCATGTGGATTGTGAGCTTAATGAAGGATTAATGACTTGTTTTGATCTATTGTGCTATCCCCATGTTGTCTAGACAATATATGCTCTATTGCTTAGATATATTGTGCCTTCACATGATGTTTAGACAATACTTGCTTGATTTGTCATCGTTGCCAATTGAATCAACCTAATGCACACACACCCTTATCATATTGCAACACATCCATTACCCTCAATTGATCACTTGTTAGTAGTATAGAAAAGTATTGCTTGGTGGTGATCTCTACACCCCAAGACCTCTCTCTCTCTTGTTTACCTCATATTATTTTATTTAGTTGAATTCAATTTAGCTTAATCAACCAACCAACCAATTGTGTGATCACTCGACCTACTAACCCTAATTACCATAGTTCACAATTCGATACACCATCAAATCCCTTGGGATGATCCCTACTCGCCCTATCTATATTTTATATAGAGAAAGGTAGTAGTGGCTTTTTATAAATGTAAAACTTGGCCACCTTCTAAACACACACAACTCTCAAGCTTTGTTGGTTGTGGCGACTCCATCAAGGAACCAACAACAACCACTACCACCATCATCGCCACCTTTCACTACCACTGCCGCCTTTTACCACTTCCACCACCGTTACTGCCACCACTACCACTGTAGCTGCCTTCCACCACCATCACACAAGTACCGCCGCCTCCACTACCTTCAATCACCACCACCACCTTCCACCACCACTGCCACCGCCACCACCTCCACCTCCACTTACCTATACCTCTATTTCCACCACTACTATCACTTCCACCGCCACCATATTCCGCCGCCGCCACCGACTTCCATCACCGCCACCACCTTCCACCACTGTTGTCGCCACCTCCACCTCTACCTCCACCACTACAGACACCTCCACCGACTTCCATCGATCATCACCACCACGTACCTTCCACCACCGCCACTGCCACCTCCACCTCCACCTCTACCTCCATCTCCACTGCTATCGACCTCCATCACCTCCATATCCACTGTCACCATTGCCAACTTCCACCACCACCTACATCGCCTTCCACCACTATCACCTTCCACCACCACTTACACCACTATTGTCTTCCACTATGCACGCATTACCACACCATCGCTACCACCACTGTCTTCCACCATCATCACCTACACCATTGACGCCTCCCACCATTACGACCATACCACTGTCATCGCCACTACCACCGTCTTCCGCCACCGTTGCCTTCCAACACTACCACCTACACTACTACCGTTTTACACCTCCACCACCATCAACCATTGCCACCATTTCTTTTAAAAATATATATGATAGAAGAATGTTATTTTGTCAATTAAAATTATTTGTCACTAACAAGGATATTTTGGAGAATTCAATTTGAAATTCATTCTTTTCTCAATTTTACATTAGTCCATCCGTATAAATTTCATATTTGCAACTAAACAATAGAATGAGAATAACTATTCTATTTTCTTCCCATTTTCATTATATTCTTACTTGCATTCCATTCCATTCTTGCATACCAAGCATAACATTATACTTTATTTACTTTTCAACTCTATGGCAATTATAATTGAGATTTCTATTTTGTGGTAAGAGATTTTCCATTTATTATTATTATTGTTGTTGTTAAATATAATGGATCTTAAATAAAGTCTCATAAAATACATATCAAGTCGGCCATAGATAATTTGAAGGAAAATAATTTTTGTAATGAGTAATTGCAGTATATTGTTAGATTTAATGTTTTTAATTAGTCTTTTATGCAACAAATAATGGGGTGCTGTCCTATATTTACTTGTATTTAGTTTGAATAACTAATCAAAAATCATTCGATTAAGTAATTCATTGTAAATTTTCGATGTAAGTATCACTATTCTAATTTTAATATATATATATATATATATATATATATATATATATATATTAACAATTGAAAATATATCTCAGCTAAAATGAAGTGATTGTGGGGAGGGATTTACTCATTAACCTTGCTTTTTCCTCCTCTTGGTCATTTTCTTTCCTTATCTATCCGTTTATGTGTTTTTTTTTCTTAGAGGTGAACTGGGAACATCATGATGATTAGGGTGATTTTCCACCACTTAAAGCCCCATTATTGAAGGACACGTAGATTGATAGTTTGCTAGTTGCCTCCATGTGCTTGCATCGTATTAAAAAAAAAAAAAAAAAGACAATTCTTAATAAAAATTCGAAAAACCTAAGCACAACTGTGATCGTGTAGAAGCTTAACTGTTGGATTACAAAGTTTTGTTTTGAGATCCACAACATTGAATTGGAGAGACGCATTCTTCATTTGATCCATTGAAATGAAAATCACACATTTTTCCTTCAATGCTACCAATAAAAGAAAGGTCTTTTACTCTACAATCGGAGAAATATAATTTTGATCAATAACAAATTGAGAATGATGTTAATTTTATTTAATTTTTTTACTTACGCATATATTAATTTATTATTATTTTGAACTATATAATCCCGATCAACAACTCTTTGGATCGAAATATCACTAATTAGAAATTCTGAGTGTACAAATATATATATGCCGAGTAACATGAGTACATGCAGAACCACCTACGACCCATTAGTTGTATTATATCTACAAATTAGTTAGAGGAAAAGGACATCTTGCTCGACTGGAGTCAATTACGATATGTCACACCGACAAGACATAATTAGGTTCAATTACAACTAACAAAGACCTTAAACCTTTTCTTTTTTCGTCCGTTTGTGAAAAAGAAGAATCAACCACTACCTTTACCTTTTCTTTTGCCGAATATATAAAGGTGTATTTTCAGAATATATATATTATATATTGCCAGTGTTAAAGTTTTGTATTAGAAAAAATTAGTAACAAGTCATCATTTTTTTATTTATTAAATGAAAAATAATTCTATTTGTTTCGTACCAATAAATCTCTTTATATATATATATATTTTCCCATTTAAATCCTAAATCACTAAACTTTTCATTTATACACTTACTAAATTATATACTCTTGCTAAATTCCAAATAAACTTTAGACTCGAACTATAACAAAATTAATAAGAGTATATATATTTAATTTCGTAAGGGTATAAATGTAAGGTTAAGTGGATTTGGGACTTATTTGTTGTAAAGAAAATATATATATATTTTTTTATTATTATTCATTAATTGTGAAAGAGAGCTAGGAACAAAACAGTGAATTGGAGTAGGGTTAGAGAGAGCTTGTTTGTTTTCCTCATTTTAACCGAGTTTTCAAAAATTAATTTCTAATAACTCATAATCAAATAGATAGATATTTCTACAAATATTTTTTCTAATTTTTAAAAAACAAAATATTATTATTTGAAAACTGAACTTACTATGCGTTTATATCTCCTTTGTGGGTGTGAGAGGAGGCACTTGTAATCAAATACTGACGTATTGACATTGCTCAAATTCTCAATATTGTAATTTATTAATTCATTTAGCATAAAAGGGAAAAGAAAAAGAGAAAGCAAAAATTAAATTATTATGCAACAAATTTATTTTCGAGAGATAAACTGTAGTTAAATTTGGAATTGACGGAATTAAAAAAAGTAATTTAAAAAATTAAATTAAAATTATTTTCAATTCTAATACCAAGATTTCAATTCCATGTATAATCCAAGCCCAACATACACCTTAATGTAGGCGTGGGCAAAAGGGTCTGCCCAGGCGAGTCCTATGACTAGGAATGGTGAAGTGCCTCAACCTCCCTTCTTGTTCAGTCAAATAACCATCACAAAGAAAAGCCCTAGAGAACTTATCCTCCACCACTCTATCGACATCATGAACAAACACATGAGTCTCACCATCCTCTCTATTCCTCGCCATCAACCCAGCAGTGTAGATGGCACTCATCCTCCCCGGAGCCGCGTCGTGGTACCCGGTGGGTGCGTCCACCATGATCAGGTCCCACTCCGTCTCGTACACCTCCTTCGGCAGGCCTTTGTGCGCAAGCCCACACTTTGAAACCCTAGGATCACCCACCACCTTACACTCGTCATCTCCCATGCAAATCTTCAGCAGCTGATCAGCCTGGTTCACCTGAGTATCATAGACCACGTGGAATATCGAGTAATCCATTAATGTGGGTAGCAACACCTTGCTGGCTTCGATTTGGTCGATCCACGACTTGTCTTCCTCGAGGAAGACGGTGTGACCGCCGTGGTTGAGCGCCGCCCACATGAGGCTGTCGTGGCCGAGCCCGAACACCAGGAGGTTGGAGGGTGACTTCTTCTGCAGAAGGACTCTCATTGTGACTGAGATCTCGTTGAAAGTCTGTTGCGGAGTGATGTTCGTGGTGACGTAGTGGACCAGAGCTTGGGCGAGAGAAGGTGGAATTTTGGCGCAGGTGGTAGTATCTGTTGGAGAGCAATTAGGGTTTTTTGATTCTTGTGCTTCTACTTGATGATCTTGTGGATCTGATGAGTTTGATACAAGAATTTGATGGGTTGTTGATGATGATGTTGATCTTAGTACCAGGAAGAGAAGGAAAAGAAAGAAAAAGAATACTAGGAGGAGCTTCATGAGATGATTGATGGCTGGGTACTGCGTTAATTTGGATCTCATGTTATTTTCTTGAGATAGAGAGAGGGTATGGAGTTGATCATTTATTTGCCCGGTCCCGATGAAGGGAGATGGGAGTCGGTGAGAGAGTTTTGATGAAGAGAGGGAAACAGACAGAGACAAATAGGTGTGATGTTCACGTGGAGTGGGTCCCAAGGGAGTAAAGGAAATACTGTAATAGAAAATGTTATTTGTATATTACTGTACTAATTTATAATGAGTGACTACTAATACATAACACACTTTTTTTTTTTCCTTTCTTTTTTCTTTTTTTTTTTTTTTTAAAAAAATAATAATAAAAAACACATAATCAGCCTTTGAGTGGGTTAAAGTATGTGGGTTTTGAGGGGCTATGACTAAACGTATCACGCGAGTTTTGGGTGGGGGGTTGTCCCTCGGTTGGGACGCCCTGTCGATGGTTGAGTTACTTATCATGATATAAAAAATAATAATAATAAAGTGTAAAAAATGGAAAAAGGAAAAGAGAAAAGGGAAAAGGGAATGGGAGAGTTTATTATTGATATATATAGAGTTTCAAAGAAATAGGGTTACCACTACTTAATAAATTCAGTGTGTTGTAATAAGTTTGTTTGGTGAGTAAATTTTACGTTGTTTTGCTGTTATTTTGATAGATCTGCTCATATTTGACTTGTTTCTAGCTAAACAGGGTGGATCTGTTATTTTGTCTCTGTCTAGATCTCTGATCTATGTTGGATTTTAGTATCCCGCCTTTTTGTGCGGGGTTTGGATGGTTTTTTTTTTTTTTTTTTTTTTTTTTTTTTTTTTTTTTGTCGGTGGCGCCTTGTGGATGTAGTCTTAGAGTTGTTGCCTATTATCCTGACCTTTGGGTCACTCCCGTTTCTGTTCTTCCCCCTAAGTGGTCAGCTGGTGTGTTTTGACTTGTTTCTCAACAAATCGGAGGTCTGTTCTTCAATTTTTTCTTTTTTTTGCTTCTTAATTTGTTTGCCTTTGTACGGTATTTTATGGCTATGTTTGTAGATATCGTATGACTGTTTTTCTTGCGAGGATTAAAAAAAAAACATTTATAGACATGAACATATACTGTTTATTTGTCAAACTACTTTTACTATTTATAGATATCACTTGCATGTAAGTCATACTCTTGTGAATGTAAATGCCATTATTGTGTAAGAGGTTGCAATATTTTTCTCCTTGCATATATTTTTTATTTGTAAAGGTCACCATTTCACCTCTTGCACAAGAGTGATACTTAAACAAGAGTATTTATATGCACAAAATAATATTTAAAAATAATAAGAGTAGTTTGGGTAATTGAAGAGATTTTTTTTTTTTTTTTTTTTTTTTTTTTTTTTTTTTTTTTTTTTTCATGTCAACTTTTTGGTTAACTCCATTTCTTCTCAACATAATTCTTTTAACTTTATAAAATAATAAACAGGGGTCCAAAATATATGTAATGATCCCAAAGAGGAATAGCATGCTCTTGAAATTAATAATGGACTTGTGAGATATCATCCCTTTTTACCAAAAATGATTAATTTATTGGAAAATGAAATGTATTTCCCTTTTTACCAAAAATGATTAATTTATTGGAAAATGAAATGTATTTCTTTATGATGGGTTTAAACTAACATTAAAGTTTAAGTTAATAATTGTGTAATATTATAGTGAAGGGTAGTATTTCTTTATAAGGTTAGTATTTCTTTATGAGAGTTTGTGATGACTACGTGCATAGTTAATTATCCTTTTAAAACAAAAATTCTCTTCTAACCCACATTAATTAATATATCTTCCATGCACTCGACAAAATTTGGAGATAATTAAAATGGGTTGGCTTAAAGGAAAAGATAGAGAAGGTATTGACTGTTTCTCGATTCTTCATAATTTATTCTTATTCTTTGAAATGAAGCAAAGACACGAGGCTTTTGATGAGGACAAGAGAACAACTTACGTTTCTGACTTTTTTGGTGGTCTAAAGATCTACGAACGTGATTGTTTCTAACTTTCGGGTGAGGCGTGTATTTTTGTTCTGGCACTTCAGGCACATTTTTATTTTCAATTTTACTATGTATGATTTAGATCTTATCGTTTTCGCTTTTACTTTCGTTCTCTTCCACTCGATTCTGTGTAACTTAGATCAAGAAATCTTAAATAAAATAATAAAAATAATAAAGTTATGTTGTTTGGATGGTTGTTAGTGATAACTAAGACACTGCCTCTCAGATAAATTAACAACTTAATAGTATTAAAGTTATGTTGTTTGGATGGTTGGTAGTATATTCTGATAAATTAATTAACAATTTTTGTTTTCAAAAATTAAATTAATTAACAACTTGATAGTAAAAAAGTTATGTTGTTTGGATGGTTGGTAGTGACAACTAAGATACTGCCTTATTCTGATAAATTAACAACTTCCAAGTCAAGTGTGCTGGCTTTGGTTTTATATTAGGAGTAGGATAGAAGATGCAAGAAGTGGTTGAATCCGCTATGAGATCATTAGTTGTGTATATATATATATATGCATAAATTTTAAAAGGTATATGGATAGTGAGAGGAGAAAAAGGTCAATGAAATAAAAGAATAATCTAGTCTTTAAAAAATATATTTTTAAAATTATACAAAAAAATAAAAAATAAAAAATAAAAAATCTATTAATAACAGGTGTTATGATTAACTCGCAACGACGAGTGTTGATGGATAGTTGCCGATAGCTCCTTAGCACACTTTGCGCACGCTCTTATTTTCAATTTCACTATATATTATTTAGATTTTTTTGCTCTCGCTCTCACTCTCGTTTCTTCGTTCGTTCCGCTCCGTATAACTTAGATAAAAAAATTTTTTTAAAAAAAAAATATAATAATAATAATAATAAAGTTATGTTGTTTGGATGGTTGGTAGTGATAACTAAGATACTACTGCCTTATTCTGATAAATTAACAACTTCCAAGTCAAGTTTGCTGGCTTTGGTTTTATATTAGGAGTAGGAGAGAAGATGCAAGAAGTGGCTGATTGTGTCTCTTTTTGTTTTAACAGCTCAATTGTTGTACACTTATTAAGAAGCACGTCTTCTATTATTTTTTATTTTCTGGTATGAAGTACAATCATTTGTGAGACATATAAATTAACATGTTTCATGCTGGACAAATGTTGTAAGTTGATTGGGCATGGCTGAAATTTTCAATATAAAACAAATGTTTTATCTTAATTGGGCATGACTGAAATTTCCAATATAAAACAATTAATATTTTAGGGATACGAATTGTTCAAGTCCGCACCCAAATTATGGGATATCAATCAATTAAATAATATTTTAAAACGAATACAGAATACAAAAAGATAAATAATAAAAGAAATAATATCACTGAAAACTCCAATAATATTGAAAAGAAACTAATTAACATGTTTCGTGAGACATATTAATTAACATGTTTCATGCTGGACAAATGTTGTATCTTGATTGAACATGACTGAAATTTCCATTATAAAATAATTAATATTTTAGAGAAACGGGTTGATCAAGTCCGCAACCAAAATTACGGGATATCAAATAATTAATTAATATTTTAAAACCAACACAGAATACAAAAAGATAAATAATAAAAGAAATAATATTGCTGAAAAGAAACTAAATAATAAATAATTAATCATCTGAATAAATTCAATAATTCCCAAACGTAAATAATATTTCAAAAGACAACTTAGGAATCCATATCGTGGACCCCTAATTAAAACCTCATAACTGAAATAAAAATAAATGTCTAAAACTGAATAATAAAGACATAATGAAAAATCCTACATCGACGATATCGGAAGAGTGATGAAGAGAAGTCTCTGATCTACAGAAGTAACCTCCAATCTTGCTATTGACGAGGACCTGAAAAATATAACAACGAAGGTGAGTTAAAACCCACGAATAAGTCTTTTCTACAACAACCCAACTAGAGACCCGATAAACGATACATATATCCCTAGCTAACTCATACAATATCTACATAGTCGATATACACACACACACATATATATATACACACACTAAAGACTCTCATTCGACTAAGGGCAGACTCAACCAGATTGTGAGTATCTTATGCAAAGCGCATATAATGTGGTCACGAGTCCTCCTTCTACTAGGGCACACACATCCCTATATCTAGCTACCCATCTCAACCGGCAATATACGTCTTGATGACTGCTCAAATGTGATGCATTTTAGCATCTAAGGTAGGGTATTTTAGTCCATTCATCTATCTTACTTTCCCGTTTTAGTTCTAATTTGTGTTTTTGTCTATTTCAAGTCAGTAAGGTTAAACAGACTAAAAAGAGCATTTTAGCTCCTTTTTGGAGTCAAGGAGAAAATTCAAAAGAAGTCAGAAAAACTGCACTGTTCAAGTTTCGATCGATCGAAGGAAGTCCTGATCGATCGAAGAAAGCTACGATTGATCAAAAAGAAGGCGGTGCCAGCTTAATAAATAAGGTTGCAAGTTGTTCAAAATATCTTTGCCACGTCATCTTCGATCGATCGAAGTAAGTTTTGGTCAATCGAAGCCCTCTTCGATCAATCGAAGCAAGTGCTGGAAGTGAGTTGTTTAATTCCCAAGCGCGCCCGAACTCCACCAACTTTTGTAGGTGCGAGATTGCACTAATCAAATGCCTTATTTCTGACTTGTTGCCTACTCAAAGAGGCTTGTATTTAAATTAAATGAACCAATTTGTATAGTGTTGAACAATTTGAGTTCTAAGAATTGTTTTTAGCTTAGATGTTATTCTCTCTCTAGAATTAGGGTTTTTTTGGAGCAAAGCAAAGAGGAAGAAAATGGTGCCTACATTGAGGAAAACCCTTGAAGGTTACATGACCACTACCATGAGTGGCTAGATCCTTCTCTTGAGGTTAGAGATAATCCCTAAGCTTACTTCCTAAACTTTGTATTTTGTAATTTTTGGGGATTTATGTTGTAAATAATGTTTTGACCATGAATTTATATAGATCATGAGTTTCTACATGATTTGTACATATTAATTCTTCCAATTGATCTTTTATTTTTATCCATATGTCTATGTATGATAGAATGAATGGTCATGTGCTTACACTAGGTTTTATGAGTTATGCATGTCTATATGTGTTGAAGTTATAAATCGAGTGATGGTCA